ATATGATGCTTACCCTAGCTAAGACCCTTAGATTCGGATTATGATGAGAAGTCCTGATTAGGCAGCCAGTGTGAATACGATCAAGCAGTAGTAACGCGTTACAAATTCATATAGTAGTCAAGCAAAACCCATAGTGATTGAAATAGAATAAAAATCTGGTCAACAGTTGGACCTCACAGCTAGCTCAGTTAGTAGAGCATTGGGTTGGAAACCGAATTGTCACTGGTTCGAATCCGGTCACGATCCAAATCACTATGACGTTGTTTTGTCCAAATTTTAGCAATCCAGTCAGTATCAATATGGTAGGTGGGTAAGTAAATCATTTCACGCAAGAAGTAGGTTTGTTTAATGAGCGATATTAGAGGAAAATTACACTCGAGTCATGCGATATGAAAACAGTTCCAAGCCGGCAGTGTGAGTAGATGCACTGCATGTTTGACTGAAAGAATCTCCTTTGATGTTTAAATAAAAATTGGGTTATTTCATCAACTCTGAAAATGGTTTATTCTGAGGTTGAATTTTTAAGTGATTAAAACTTTATTTCATAATTTAAAATACTACACATGATCTTAGCTCGGAGAACCGAGAAGTGAAGTAGGTTCAGTCTGGAAAAAGGCTCGAGGCGGCTAGACTAAAATGTGGCATCGATGTATGAATTCGTTGACTTTTGGTTTGAGCCATATGGGGCGATAAACACTCTGGGTGGCTGGAGTCTGCGAGACAAGAGGGAACAGCGATTGGAGACTCTATGTGGTCATATGACTGAGAATCGATGTCAGTGGTGCAGATGTATTATTATTATAAATTATTTATCCCTAGGGTTCTTAGTGGAACATACCACTTCAGTAGCACGTCTCCAGTGGACTCTGTTCTCTGCAATCTTTTGAACCTGGCCCAACGACAGCCCATAAGCTCTCATTTCTTAATCGCACTATCTCCTCTATGTCACCCTCAGCTGGGACGCCCAACTCGTCTTTTCCCATCTAGGTTCCACTCGAGGGATTGGCCCGGCGAGTGATGTCCCCAAATGGTCTTCTCAGTGCACGGTGCAGATGTTTACACACACATTATCTTCATCTTAACGTTATGCCAAATCTCACCATTTTCTCATTTTTCCTTCCTCTCTTTGAGTACTTTATATTTCTTTTGACTGAGTTTTCTTTCTTTCTCCATCTCCACTTCACTGTCTTTTTACTTAAGGTACTGATATGAGCTGTGGCAACTAGGACCGTTACGTAATAATGCCTGGTCCTATGTTGAAAGATGATGATGATCATAATTTCGAAACTTGAGTAGTTGAGCAATTTTCAGGCTGATCTTTAGTATTTTGCCAACCAGACAACGAAGAGCCGTTTCGTTGACTTGAGACCGATCTCATCAACCATCTACCCGGATAAATCCACCTCACAGAGCCGAATAACTTCAGATCACCTGGATCTGGTTAGTTGACTTGTGCAGACCAGTATATCTAAAACAGGATGATGAATTTGTAAATAATTTATAAATTGTGAACGGTTCACGTTAACATTTCTCACACCTGAGTAGTGGTTTTTCAACAGTCTAATTGCAACGTCAACAAGATCACATAGTGTGACACATAGAAGTGTCAAGAACCATCAAAATTGACCATTCTATTTTAGGTATGTCAGTTTATGCAAGTCAAATAACTAGACTCAAGACTCAGCTCTATTGAGCTGACTTAATCCGGGCATACCACTGATAAGACCGTCCATAAATAGGCGAAACTGCCTGGTGAAATCTACAGACCAACCTGAGTGGTCTCTAACTACTCAAATTGTTCATTAGTAGTATCTTTTGCTGGTTCATGACACTTTTGTGTCAGAGGTCACATCTTGTAATCTAAGGTGACTGATTCTCAGTGGAAACCTTTTTGATACCACAGTTAGGCACTTGAAAAACTACTACTCAAATGTAAGAAATGTCAACGTGGACTTAGCAATTTGTAAATCATTTCAAACAAACTTTATTGATGAGTACTAACAAGCGTGAAACTCAATCCAACTATATCTTTATGTGAAGTGTTCTGATGATAAATTTTGTGAATTATTTATAAACACTACGATTGACACTTCTTACATCTGATTAGCTTTTCCATGGTGTCAACATACGTTTTCCGTCGGATTTGTTCTCAAATGAAGGGAACAACAATCATTTGGTCTTTGAGATCGCTCTGATCTAAGCAAGTGAAGTGTATAGATAGGCGTGAGTAGTTCATCATAATCATCAAGACCAACATAAGACCACAAAGTACTGCATAACGGTCCAAGATGCCATATCTCATATCACCACAGCAAGTTACAAGGCAAAGAAATGGAAGATGAAGAAGGAAAGAAAAATCTGTCGAAAGAAGTAAAAGAAAGGGAGTAACGAGAAAATGATGAGGTTAAGTATAGTGGTTAAGAAGAAGATAACATGTGTATACAGCTGCGCCACTGACATCGGTTCTCAGCCATATCAGCTAGAGTCCTTAACCATTGGTTCCTCTTGCCCTTGCATAGCTCAAACCAAGTCAACGACTTCATACATTTATGCCATACTTTACTCTGGCTGCTCTGAGCCCATATTCATCTTGAACCTACTTCGACCAACATTCTGTGACGAAGTAGACGGTGCTTAGGCAGACGTAACGCATGTCCCAGCCATCTCACCCGATGAAGGTTCACAACCCCATCAACTGATTTACCTAACCTCCCTGAAACTCTACGCCAGACTTCTGCGTAAATCATGTGGTGACACCAACAAACACCGCCAATACTACGAAGACGATGGTACTCAAACACCTGAAGCATTCTCATGTCTTATCCCTTTACTATAAGATTATTATATATCCGTTGGATTCCTAGTGGAACATACCACTTCAGTAGAACGTCTCCATTGCACTCTCTTCTCCGCAATATTTTGAACTTGGCTCCATGACAGCGCACAAGCTCTCACTTGTTCCTCCATGTCACCCTCGCCTCGGACGCCCAACTCGTCGCTTCCTATTTGGATTCCACTCTACGTCCTGGCGCGTGATGTCTCTGAATGGTCTTCTCACTGCATGCCCAATCCAATCCATCTCCATTTCCTTCCACTGCATATTTGTTCAGCAATAGATTACTGCTTCATTGATTCGTAACTAGCCAGAGTTCCTCCTTGCCTATTCTTCCTGGCCACCTGAGCTTCACTAACGAGCCAGCGTAGGCAGTTGTTGATGAATATCTGTAGTTTGTTGGAAATCCCTTTCGTAACGCGACGCCAAGTCTCTGATTAAACCAAATAGAAGCACTGACTTGACTGACATTACTACTGACAATCCGGATGTTGTTCACACTTTATGCTGAGTGGAGTGCAGAAGATCTCCACATTGGTTGCAGATTAGTGGACGCCTGTCTTGCTGATCGCGGCTTTGACTTCCTCGTCTGTGCCTGTGCGGCCTGTAGATGAAAGGATGCTGCCTAGGTAAGTGAAAGAGGCTACTTCCTTTAAGATTCACCCGTTGATGGTGATTGGAGCTTGTTGTTGTTGGTGGTGGTGGTGGTTAAGTATCTTCATCACCTCTGTCTTCTCTACGTTCACCTGAAGGAAGTCCCGTCTTCTTCGCCTCCTCATCTCTTCTGCCAACTTGCTGGATTTCGCCTGTAGATCTTCAAGTTTGTGTGACATTAGACATAAGTCATCGGCGAAATCCAGGTCTTCTAGGTTCTTTTCCGCGGTCCAGAGTATCCTTCTCTTCTCGCTCCTCACTGTTTGTTGCATAGTCCAGTCCACTACAATCAGGGAATTCATGGGTGATAGTAGGTGGGAGCCTTGTTTCATTTCTGTCTTCACTTCAAAAGCACCAATGAGCCTCCTACTGTGAATTTCTTGGCACGTGGCTTCTTCATATAGTTGTTGAATGAGATTAATAAATGTTTGTGGTATTCCGTAGTGTGGAAGCAGTTGCCAATAAATCCCCACAAATCTCCAAATGGAATTACAGTGGTGAGGTGTTTAACGTAGTCAGTAGTTACCTGAAGGAAGTAAACATCATAATAATGATTTCACTAATCAAACAACTCTGAATAGACAGCAATACCAAATTACGACCAAGTTAAAAGTTAGGACACAAAAAGAAGAGTGATATTAATATGATATATCAAAAGTATATGAGATGAGAGAGAAGAAACGCAGAAATGTTAGTTAATATGATCAAACTGACGAAGATGTTAAAGTGTATAGATACATCTACGCCACTGTGATTGATTTCTCACCACGTCAAAAACAGTCTCCAGTTATTAATTCTTATCCTCTTGTAGAGAAATCAGTAACCCAGTCTACATCAAACATGGCTTCAATGTACAGTCATAGGTTTTATGGACTGGTATCATATTATTGGTCATGTGATAGGTAGCGACAAAAATGTAGCCAATAGAGAAATTGTTTTCAGATCATGGATTTATGCATGTACTGACATGATAATCTGATTGGACAAATTCGAAGTCATACGACCAATCCCATTGGTTTATTTATGGCTTCATTTTCTGAGGGTTTTGTAAATATATATAACGTTTGTTGAACAAAGTTGATGTTCTTGTCTTCTGATTTTCGCAGCTCAGAGAAGCGTAGGGCGTGGGAAAACAGTCGTATTACTCGTATCCAGTCCAAGCATCTATAGTTGCATTATTATCTCATTCACGTATTATTAGAACCCACGTCACTCCCCACCACAGACACATCAATCTGATTATTCTTTGGCGTTTCATCAAACTAATCCTATTTTAGTTAACATTACATTTTAGAGTAGTTGGTGTTAGCTCAACATGTGTAATACTTGCTTAGACTAATTCAATTGTTTAGGTTGCACAGTTTCATCAACTGACTAGCTCTCCTTACCCAGTAGCCTACGCATAAGGTCGACACTAATGAAATGAGCATTCCGAGATATCCCAGTAGCGCTATAAAGGACACACCTGTATTCTCTTCATATTTTCTACAGCCACGTCAGAAGTTCACCAACAGGAAGAAAAAAAACAGTGTATTTACAACCAACACAATAATATTGTTCAAAAAACATGATTTTTTTGTATTCAGGACGCAAATTAATGCATTATATATACATATTCTTTATACATTGTTAACCGTATAGACATATAATTCACTATGTTTTCTTCAGACGTTTCTGTTTCCGAGATGTTTTCAGCTTCAGTTTACTGTTAGTATTTTTTTTCATTGATGATGATAAGCCACGATTTCGATGACGTTTTTTTGCATTGAAATGTTTCGGTAGACCTGATTTCCGTGAACTATGCTTTATTAATGAAAGTGATTTCTTTTTCAAATTTTTCTTAAATTTTTGATAGACTTCTGGATTATTAATCATCTCTGTCATCGACGAGGACGATATATTCAACTTAAAGTTCTTTCCAATATCCATTGTAGATGGTTGTGATGGTGTTCCATCTTTACTTTTCGACTGTATAACCTAATTATTAAAAAGAAAAATACCGAAAATCCATCAATGTTTACAAGATGATGAAAAGGATTTGTAGGTCAGGATGAAGATGATGGTGATTTAGTGTTTTCTAAGCTTAGATATCTTATTGAAGATGTTTCATCATGGAGTTGAGTGACATCTTCAGTACTAACTAACTTTATGAAGAACCGAAGTTTATTCGAATGTTTGGGTAGTGTTTTTATTGACCTAGAGTGTTGTTCACTTTTTTTTCGATTATACCTAATGGCAGAGTGAGATATTGCTATTTGTTACACTGTGCTATATTCTAGGTCGACTGGACAACACTCAACTACCTATATACATTCATGTAACAACATTCCAATAAACTTCAATTCAATATGAACTTAGTAATGAGGAGATCATCAAGCTCAATGATAAAATGTCCAAACAACAGAATATGCTAAACTCGGAAAATATCAAATTACTATCATGAATGATTATTTTAAATACAAAGTTATTTCAGCGATGCATCTTAACACTGATTATGTAACTTAGAACCTCGTACAGGGGAGCATCATCTCAAGTTGTCACCTGATGATGTAATAAAAGGCTACATAGTAAAGTTTATGAAGCTGTATATGATGATTATAAGGAAAATTATGATTAATTCGACTAGGTATTCAGGAAAACAGTTAATGGACACGAAGTTCTCATACAAAAAAGTTACTATCCAAAGTTTAAGTTCCTTCCTTTAGGCTATCTTTTGTACAAAAAAGGGGGAGAATTTTCGATACTTACTTTTAGGAATAACAGGTGGTATTCAACATTAATACTTCACTACATTTAGAAATCTTCGAAAACAGGCAGACAGATAATCGTATACAAAGAACAGGTGCTAGGTCTCAGTCTAGCTACTCTGAACCATCTTCCAACTGAATCCAACTTCTCCTAGAATGACACGTCAAGGTTGGTGGTGGTTTGTCCAGGCCACCTCAGTTGATGACGGTTCACAACTTCACAAATCGACTTATCCTTCAACGAACCTCAACATTGCTCAACACGGTGACTTTACCTTTGATCAAAACTCAGCAATCGCTTCGTGTCGTCTACTTTTAACGGTCATCTCTCATAGCTTTATAATAAGACAGACGAACTGCAACGCCGTATACTCGTCCTTTGATAGATAATCGGATATTTCACCAGTTGGCGTCACCGGTGGCACAAGTTAGCCTTCTGTATCCAGGCTGAGATTGCATCAACAATCAGCCCATACGGGCTAATGTAATCCCTCAAATGTAAGTGAAGTGTAGGACTAAAACTTGGGCACTGTGGTCGATTGTAATTCCATTTTATTCTGTTTATTAGAAATGTTGCACAATATCGAAAACTAATAATCCCAATAGAATGTATGGTACTATGAAAATTCATAAGCCAGGCCTATAGTAGATTTTAGAAACACTCCAACCTACGAGTTGTCTAAGTATTTAGCAATGGTGTTAGGCTCACTCAGAATCTCGACTTACCAACTCTTATGATTTAAAGCACGGATTAGACGACATACACTTAAACGACAGTGAAAAAAATGGTTAGTTTTGACATAACTAGTCTTTACACAAATATACCGATTGACATAGCTCTAGAGGTAGTTAGAAATGGGCCAGCAAAGAGCTTACGCATAGAACTAACGTGCTGATCGATGAAATCATAATGAGAGTATGATTGTGCCTAACATTTACAGGTTTTAAGTTTCGAAATAAAATATATCTAAACAAACTGAAGGTGTTGCCATGGGATCACCAATATCCCCTATTGTGGCAAACATATTTATGGATAGTTGGGAACTGATGGCCCTTCAAACATTTAGTCACACTTCAAAGATATAGTTTCGATATGTAGATGATACGTTTACAGTACTGAAATCGCAACACATCAATAGATTCTTGGCACATATAAATCTAATAGTGAATGCAATCCAATTTACCTGTGACTTAGAAAATGAAGAAGGTGAGCTAGCAATGTTGGATTGCAACAGCAAATGAACACAAGACAGAAATTTAGAGACTAGTGTCTATAGGACACTGTCCCATTCGAATCGCTATACTGTGTGACATTTCTAATAAACAGACTAAAATGTAAGTGAAGTGGTCGACACATTCCACCACTTCACTCCCTGTCATTAAACTAGAAGTACTTGTAGCAGGTCAGTCCTGCTTCAGATGATGATCAAATATTTTACGGAATTTTAGTCAGTGTAAATTACCATGAGTGATAACTTTTATGCTTGATGGTGGTTAGGAGTGGAATCCAGGACGCACAAACAACAGTCTAATGAATCATGAGACGATATCGAGGCATTCGTATAGGAGGCCATTTTTCTCAATGAAGGTCGATTGATTCAATCCACAATAACAAGAACAAAAGATTACAAGTAACAACAAATAGTAACAACTGTTATCCGTTGCACAAGAGGTGGCCATCGTTCCTCAGTAACCTATTGAATAAGGTGTTGGATTCGAGACCCACTAGGGTGGAAGTGCATCCAGTTGACGAGTCCCAGTTAGCATGATGGACAGCCAAGGATAAGTGCCCATCTGCCAACAGAAGCTGGCCCAATTCGACTGGTAGTAACAACGAGCAACTACAAGAATCAACAAGTAATAATTATTGTGATTCTATTGTATGCTATTTAATGGCTAAGAGTAGAATCCAGGAAGCGCGCTTTATCCTATTTGAAACTCACTAGTCAGTAGGATGTACCTACACTCCCACTGAAAGTTGAGCCCAGTACCTATCACTTTAAACGTCAAAAGTATTTCCTACTAGGCGACTGGGGCATGAGACCCACCTCGTATATAACGGATATCAGTAACTGTTCATTGATACTTGTAATGTACTATCGAATTGTTCGATATCTTTTGGCAGATAGGCTCCTATGCAGAGGCTTCGATACTGTCTGATTCCAGTTTAAAATGAATTCCCCTTCAATTCTGATTATGAACCTCATAAGAAAATCTTAAAAAACCATCAATATATCTTGGTGCTAATAAGATCACAAAGAAGAAATCCAGACAAGGGAGTTTTATGTGCAAATGGTTGTGTTGTGCAAGTAAGATTGTTTAAAGTAATACAGATAATTTGAGGAGTAGTTTAAACTAATAACTTGTCTAAGGAGGCTTTAAAACTCAGGTATGCTACAATCACTCACCATAATAATAATAATAATGTATAATTGCTTGTATTATACCTTCGTTGGCATATGGGCTCCTGTGCGGATGCCTCTATATTAATTGTGTTTTAATTATAGTAATGATGGATAGTGGCTAGCACTCGAATACAGGATGCGGATTTCGTCCTATTTGGGACTCGTCAGCTGAGTGTACTTACCTCCCAGTCAGTGATATTATTCCCACCTAGAGTTAGACTCAGGAGCAATCGCTTCAAAAGCCAGAGCGTTATCCACTACACCACCCTTCATACAACTGAATTGGCATCAAGGATATCTCTATCGGTTGTTCAAGTGTTTCAATGTTATCTGAAATACTTGCGTAATCCACAACCACGAAAGCACAGAAAGACTCCAACGGGGACTATTTTCAAAGTCTTTGATTATCAATAATTTCTCAGCTGATCGCATGATAAAAATTAATTTCAATTTAAATAGATTTTTATAGACATTTTGATCTGTAATATTATGCATAACAAGCGATAACACTAAAACTATACCTGTCGCACAAAAAATGGCTATCGTGACTCGGTGGTCTAGTGGGTAACGCTCTGGCGTTTGACGAGATCACTTCCAAGTTCGAACCCAGGTGGGAACAATATCACTCAGTGGGGAGGCAGGTACATTCAGCTGACGAGTCCCAAATAGGACGAAATCCGCATCCTGGATTCCAGTGCTAGCCACTATCCATCATTAGAATAATAATAATAATAATAATAATAATAATAATAATAATAGCAGCAATAATAATGTTGATAAATCAGCAATTTGTTACTTGTATACATACATACACACACATACATACGCGCACACACACACATACATACATACATACATGCATACATACATATACACACACACACATACATACACACACACATACATACACACATACATACGTACATACATACATACATACATACATACATACATACATACATACTCACACGGGGGATAAGTAGTTATAAAGAATTATGAGTAGATATAAACTTTATTAAATCTTCAATTGATACAATTATTTCCAATTAACTTACATTACACTTTTGGGTTCTTTTCTGTTTCAACTGTAGTGCTCTTAAATTTTCCACTGAAAATTCAACAATTGGTCTCTAATTTATAAGAAAGTAGAAAGTGAACAAATAAACATCTATTAGCATATAAATTCTACTGAATAGAATTGTTTCTTGCACAGAAATGGTTGAGATCCCCACTCCCATCAATATCATATTATGGTGTCAGCACGTTAGTAATTGTAGAAGTCATATGTGTCGAGTTTTACAGAGAAGAGGAAAGTCAGTTGATGAAGATGTCAACTTTAACAGGCTCAGGTGGCTGGGATATGTTTCATGCATGCCTAGTCACCGTTTGACTTGTTACATAATGTTGTTTAAAGAAGCTTCTAGCTGCAAGAAAGTTAGTGGCAGTTAGACTAAACATGAAATTTTTTAAATGTTGTTTTGAGCTATGTAGGGAAATGTAGACGCGACATAACCCCATATTTTACCAATAACCTTAAAAAAAAACTTTGTCATTGCTGTTTTTGCACCTCACCTGGTTAACTAGTTCACTAGTTTACTACTATAACAAATGAAAACAAACTTATTCCTCGCTGGAATCGGAGAAACAAAATGACATCAGTTGATGAAAGCCTTCGGGAAGCCAATTCGCCGATATATCTCCTCTCTCTCTCTCTCTCTCTCTCTCTCTCTCTCTCTCTCTCTCTCTCTCGATGAAAGCGAAAGTAAACACGGGGACATGGAATGTCCACATGATGTTCGAAGCTGACTGGCAAGGCTGCCCACATTGCAAAGGAGATGAGAAGGTATAGAATTGAAGTGCTAGGAAGCTGAGAAACCAGATGGAGTGGAAGTGGACTCTCCAAACTATCAACTGGATAGTCAATAATCTACTTCGATATTGTCACCCACACGACAACCACTACCAAACTGAGTTATGGAGTGGCTATCATGATGTCCCCAACAGCATCCAAGGCTGTCTCTCATGCAGTGGGGACCAATCTCCTCCTTCAGGATCACGATCGTGACACTAAGATGGATTCAACTCGAAAGGAAGCAAAGTTACAATCATACAATGGTACACTACGCTACACACCTACAAATAATGCACATGAAGAGAAGAAGGAGAAGGGATTCTACAAACAACTGCAATCAGTACTAGACAAGATTCCACTCCAGTTGGCGTCATCGAAATTCTAATAGGTGATATGAATGCCAAACTGCTGGGAGCGGACAATACAGGAGGAGAACTGATCATGGGTAGAGAAGCACTCGGTGAAACGATGAACGAGAATGGAGAACTGTTTGCAGATTTCTGGACATTCAACCACTTGGTGATTGGAGTCAGGCAGTGTGTACAAACACAAGGATATTCACAAGGCAGCGACATGGATTTCACTAGATGGACACACTAAAATCGACTTCATCTCAATATGAGGAAAGTGGAGACACAGCCTACTGGACACAAAATCAGATCAAGAAGGGGAATAGATGTAGGTTCTTACCATCAAACTATATAATCCCAGGGAACCTTCAAAATCAAGTTGAAAGCCTTCAAGGAAGTTGGTGATGATAGACCACAGTTCAAGTTGAACACCCAAAACAGAAACTGAAGGACGAAACTACAAGGGAAATCAGGCCAAATGGGAGACATTGAGCAACATCCCTGAAGAAACCTGTGTGGATGAACACTGGAACTCTTTCAAAGCTATGTGGAAAGAAACCTGCATAACCGTGTTAGGAAGGAAGAGGAAACAAGACAACGAATGGATCTCGACGGAAACATCGAATCTAATAAACGAGGGAGAGGAGGATGGTGAAGCAGAAGATGAACCACTGTAGTGCTGTGCAGGGATGAACAACGAAAAGGGGAACTGAACACAACTGACAAAACACTACACTGGACAAAGAAGTAGAGGAGAGAGCGTGCAAATACAAAAGACACTTCTACAACACAATGGAAAGTGAAGCAGAACAGGCTGCTGCAGGCAGGAAAGACAGAGACCTGACAACACTACCTGAGAAGAAATCAACGCACATGAAACTAAGTTAGCAAAAAGGAGAAACAAAGGGAACAGTTGGCTGACCACTTCTAAAAACTCTTGGATCGACCACCACCGCCACCTGCACCTCGTCCAGAAACACCACCAGCAGCCCAGCCATAGAATTACTACTGAACACAAGGCCTCCGACAAAAGTCGAAGTCCTGAACGCCATAAAGTTGCTGAAATCCGAGAAAGTAGCAGGACCAGATGGAATTCCCCCACAAGTACTGAAAACAGATGCAGAGACAACAGCGAACACGCTCACACCACCATTGCAGAGGGTTTGCAAGGAAGGAAGGAAAGGTATCTGACGACTGGAAGGACTACCTTGTCAAACTTCCAAAGAAGGGAGACCTAAGTCTTTCCAAGAACTAACGCGGAATCATGCTCCTATCCACCCAAAGCAAAATACTACGCCGCATCATCCTGAAGAGATTAAAAGGTGCGTCGGATTCAAAATTACGGCTGAAACAGGCTGTCTGGCTTCAGGAAGAACAAATCATGTGCGGATCAAATTCAAACGCTACGCATCATCACAGCACACAGCGTCGAATAGCAATCAACTCAACTCTAACTCAATTTCATCAATTTTGAAAAGGCCTTCGAAAGTGTCGACCAAGAAGTCATTTGGAAACTGCTTCAACACTACGAAGTACTACAAACCTTTATCAAACTCATTCAACAGATGTATGAAAACGCCATATGCCAAGTGATTGACAATGGAGATCTCAGTGACGCCTCTGAAGAGAAGACAGAAGTTAGATAAGGATGCCTACTATCTATCACCGATCATCTTCCTGATTGTGGTCTGCTGAACCAGAATGGATCATGCAGCGAATCGTGAGGAGTGGGAAGACGGGAATATACTGGCTGGACAGATGAAAAGAACCCACAAGAAGATTTAGATTTCCCAAATAATGATTTATGTCTGGTGTCTTGTTGCACAAGCTTGAACATCTACAAGTGAAAACCAACAAGTTGACAGAACAGATGAGGCAGCGAAGACAGGACTTCCTTCAGGTGAACGCAGAGAAGACACAGGTGATGAACATACTCAATCAACACCACCACCACCAACAACAACAACAAGCTCCAATCACCATCAACGGGAGAAATCTAAACGAAGTTGTCTCTTTCACCTAGCACCTAGGCAACGCAGCATCCTTTCATCTACAGGCCGCACAGGCACAGACGAGGAAGTCAAAGCCAGGATCACAAAGACAGCAAGACAGGCGTCCACTAATCTGGAACCAATGTGGAGATCTTCTGCACTCCACTCAGCATAAAGTGTGAACAACATCCGGATTGTCAGTAGTAATGTCAGTCAAGTCAGTGCTTCTATTTGGTTGAGAGACTTGGCGCGTTATGAAAGGGATTTCCAACAAACTACAGATATTCATCAACAACTACCTACGCTGGCTCGTAACTGAAGCTCAGGTGGCCAGAAAGAATAAGCAAGGAGGAACTCTGGCAACTAACTAACGAAGCAGTAATCTATTGCTGAACAAATATGCAGTGGAAGGAAATGGAGATGGATTGGATTAGGCATGCAGTGAGAAGACCATTCAGAGACATCACGCGTCAGGAAGTCGAGTAGAATCCAAATAGGAAGCGACGAGTTGGGCGTCCGAGGCGAGGGCAACATGGAGGAGATCATGTGAACACGCTTCTGGGCAGTCATGGAGCCAGGTTGAAATGAGTGCAGAGAAGAGAGTGGAATGGAGACGTTCTACTGAAGCCCTATGTTCTACTAAGAACCCAAGGGACAAATAACAATAATAATAAGAAGAAGAAGAGCTTTTGCTTTTGCCACTGCTTTTGAAGGCTGAACTCTCATTGGTTGTTAATTCTTTTAACTTATCAGTGAATTTTGTGCTTGTCAAGGTAGTTTAGAATGCATATATAGATATTCAGCATTCCTTTCAACTGTTTTTGAGACAGTAAAAGCTTTCTGTCAACGATCCATTTTCTCTTTTGACTTCGCGTGTCTGTGGTATTGTTGTGATGGTGGTTGACGTTCTGATTAGTGTTTAGAGTTGATTCATTTGTCCATTAGGTTCGTATCACTTGTATACTGTTAGCTTGCATTTACCGGTCATAGAAATAGAAGGCGTAATTGGTGCCCGGGTAACAAGAGAAACTCTAGGTAATATGGCTCAGAACTGATGTCAGTGATGCAAATGTAATCACACATTTTCTTCATCTTAATTGTCATACGGAATTTCAGTATTCTCTCACTTCTCCTTGTCCTTTTTCGATGGTTTTTTTCCCTACTTTTGACCATTTTCTTCTTCATTTCTTTATTTTACATCTTGGCGCATTCTTGCTTGACGTGGTGATAGGAGATATTGTAACTTGAACTGTTACATAATGGTGCTAGGTTCTATGTTGATAATGTCTGTCTGAACGTCTAATTACATTTTATTACCATCACTTAGTACTAATTCATAGTTCAAAACGTATAACATTGATTTCTTCACATCCTCTTGAATATCAGAACAAAACAACAATTATAGACTGATCAATGAAATTTACTGACCGTATCAACATGATATGAACACTGATACGCTACTCCTACCATATATCTTAAACTTCTCAAGAAGGGGGGGGGTGGCGCTCAGCGCTCAACAAACTATACAGGTATCCAGAATTCATATGACCTCGAGGTCAGTCAACAGGTAGACAGAAAAATCAAAGAATGGCATGAAACTAACAAAAATGTATGAGAGCAGAGAGAAACTCAACAAAGAGTAAAGATTTGATTGGTGCACTGTCCATCAAGTCAGAAACCTATCTAGCTTTCCTTTAGTTTGCTGTTCACCAGCTCCGATAACGCGTTGGATGACTACAGACTCTAGGATACTAGACATAGTCTTAGTTAAAATGATTCCTCTATAATTGTCACGAGGAGACTTTTCTCCTTTTTCATAAAAAAGTATCATAAGCGGTTTAAATCAGTATGATGGGGTTACCTCTGACACCTCAGACATTAACGATTACCTTAGTTATCCTACTCAGTTATTTCCTACTTCCACCCTTAGGTCTGGCAGCTTTGCATCATTTCAGGTTTAAAACAGCATTCTCAACTTCTAGGAGACTTGGACGATCAACGTCTACTTCTTATTCCGTCTTCATATAGTGCTAAGTAGCTGCCGAATATTAAGTAAAACCGATGCCTTCTCCACCATCTACCACTCCTCATGATCATTACGAAGACTGTTGGTCAATTTACGGTTGAGTTGCCTTCACTTTTTTTCGTGGTTAGGGCCAGCTTGAATGAATCTTCTCATATCAATCGGTTCGGATGAGGTTGAGGAAACGCAGTGGGCTTCGTCAGCCTTCAGATTTAGCTTATTAACCGTCTATCGCTGTTTTTTTATAGCAGGCCAGGCTTCATCAAGATGAGGATTATTGCCATATTCAGATAAATGCTTATCTAATCTTCTCTTTTGATATACATTTCATTGTCTCATTTTCTAGTCGAGAACACAGAGGCTTCATTGCTGTGTTTTCTTGCTCCTTGTATAACACAAACATGCACGTGCTTGTACTCACGTATGACTGAAAGCAGTAGGAATCATTAACTGATCCTTTCCAGCAACGGCTTAGATCAATATGATGTATCCGAGTCCACGTTGGTCTGACATCGATGTATGCCAAGTAAGACAATGCTTTTCCTTATGCTTGAACAGAACTATCAGTGTTCTAGGTTAGTTGGCACAGGATTCCATAGACAACTCCAATATGCCTTTTCGACCAATTTAGCCTCTCTATTTGAGTGTTGAAGTCGCCTACTAGTATGAAGACAGGTGAAAGCTTTACTTTATGTAGCGAAATTGATGGATTTAGGTAGAACTTATACTTTACATCATCCGAACTCTAGTCGGGACGGGAGGCATGTAGTTGGGGGGACTACAAATAGACATCAGTAGGTGTCTAGATTCATTCTAGTCTTTATAAATTCATTCAACGAGGAAAGCGACTATCAACTAGTGTTCCGTAGAGGAGCGACGTCTCTGCTCTACAACTTAATGCGATGCATTCACCAAGGAGTTCACGAGAACTAACCACTGGGATCACAGAGACTCAAAGATTCAAATTAGTCAGATGAGGTCAAGTTGAAAGTCAATGAGCGCTGACTGATTGTAATGTTTGCTTCCCAAGTCAACATTCAAGACAGTAGTAATATGTATATCCCGACCGATAGCTGCTACCTTGACGTGGTGGTCGGGCTTACATATCACAATGACCCAACGAGCTATGCTGGTGGAACGCTTGATCCCTCGAGGTCCTACCATACCAGAAAGGTCTGTTGGATAGTGGTTAGACGAAAAGCAGTTACCGTTGTGGTGTAAATTGCTACACTATGATGGGGGTCTGAGGGCGAAGTCGTACTGCTGCTAGCTGGATGGGGTGTGACAGCAGTAAGGTGTTTCCCTTGGATGACCAGCAGTGCCATGCTGATGCTGCCTTCTCAGTGGAAGGGGGGGGTTAGAAAAGGTCGGCCCCCAAAATAACACTCCACTACGCCCCACGGTCTACCGGGCCGGCGGTGTTGGTTCCCTTGTCGTTTCCTTTCGATCATCCGGCCCCAAAAATACAAAAGTTCAAAATAATCATACTCAAAAGGCTTCGTGTGACAGGCCTCAAGTAGATGTCCGATGGGCTCTGCGGTCACACAAATCTCTTTCAGGTACCCTAAGAAGAAATAGCCTTCCACGGTGTGGGCAGCCGGGAAGTGTCAACCGCCCTCACAACTCAGCACCCAAGAATATGTATATCATCAGGCAAGTTTTTTTCAATCTTGACAATAATATTATCTTTAACAGTTGTGAATAATGAATATGAACTCAGATAAGGTAATCATTGGATGCCTCACATACTGTTAGCCAGTCATAAAATAAGAATGAACCAACCAACCAGTTTATTCTTCATTTCAAATGTTTATGTATGACCTCAGGTTAGTCAGTTAGTCAGTCAGTCAATCAATCATGCCTACTTCATAAGGCAATCTAAACAACAATTTCAAATGTTACTTCATTTGATATCATCTTTAAAGTAGCCTAAATGTAAAAGGATAAGTCTTTATTTCTGTAGACAATGATCGTTTTATTTTAACCGTAGAATGTGGGCATCCTTATCTTCATACACACCAAAACCTCCATACTTCTCTATTTAACCCATCTTATCAGGTTTATATTACACAATAGGTACTTTTCATATAGAATTTTGAAAACGTTTATATATCAACAAATATGTATACATTATATTACACTTTACTTACTCGATTACTTGGTGGAAAAGCATTCGGATTATTATTTAAACCATTTAATACTTTCATAGCATTCTCATGATTGTCAAAGGTAACAAATGCATATCCTAATGAACGATATTGTTGTCTTCCAGGTTGAAGGTTACGCATAATACGACACTGATAAAATAAGTGAATAAAATTATCAAATATTAATCAATATATTATTGGGAATTAATAAGATACATTATATTATTTGTCCCTTGGGTTCTTAGTAGAATATAGGGGGCTTCAGTAGAACGTCTCCATTTCACTCTCTTCTATACACTCATTTCAACCTGGCTCCATGACTGTCCAGAAGCTTTCATTTCTTCATCACACCATCTCCTCCATGTCACCCTGAGCTCAGACGCCCAACTCGTCGCTTCCCATCTGGGTTCCACTTGAAGGATTGGCCTGACGCGTGATGTCTCTGAATGGTCTTCTCACTGCATGCCTAATCCATTCCATCTCCATTTTCTTCCACTGCATATTTGTTCACCAATAGATTACTGCTTCGTTGGTTGGTTGCCAGAGTTCCTCCTTGCTTATTCTTTCTGGCTATCTGAGCTTCAGTAATGAGCCAGCGTAGGTAGTTGAGATAAACTTGTTTTTCCTTTAGAGTTTACAAAACTAGCTAAGTAACACTGAACGATTGAATTTAGAGATTTGTGGTTTTAGTGATTTCTCAAGTTGGTATTCATCATGGATTGACATCAGTTGGAGGAACATTGGAAACCTGATAGTACTGGATGGCTAATTTGTCCTAGTATGGAACGCCACAGCAATCTCTACCCATAACCCCGCCTCTCCAGGAGTCGGACTCAGGACCTTCAGGTTTCATGGTCATTCGATCGGAATCTAATGGTACATATTTCCAAATTCCGTCATTTCACGACATCGCCGAATGTCATCGTTGAATATTTGTCCTCACGACCACCAGGTTTGGCCCACCGGTGACGACTTCTAATTGGAACTTCAGAAATCACCTCTCGAAGCTAGTCACCAATGAGCACCAGTTCAATTGAATTTGGGGATCTGTTGGGTCATGGGTGTTCAGTACTGAGAAGTCGTATATTAGGACAAAACAGGTATCCAGTGCTTCCACGTTTCCAATCTTCCTCCAACTGATGTCAGTTCGTGATGAATACCAACTTGGAAAATACTCAACTACTCAATGAATGACAATCGATACAGCTGCCAAGTCCAAAGTCTATCGATCAGGTAACCACTTACTGAAATAATACACCACTATGGTACACTTTCTTCTCGCAATTCACAATCCTACATGTACCGTTGTGCAGTAGGTAATCTATGACACCTACTTTGTTAAGGTTAATTATATTATCTGGCTGCCGAGATCTCGATAGACAAGAGATAGTGCAAGGTTGGATGGAATCCATGACCTACTTACTACTGATTGAACACCTATCGAGTACCTAAATCTAGTCTTTGGGAAACCCTATTTTATCTAGGGTTTCGTATCTATTGGCATCATCACCTAACAGAAAAGTGCATGTCTGCAAACTTGTAGAATTGAACAAGCATTAAATCGTGTTGAAACCGAAGATTTTATTACTGCACCTGAATAAACATTAACATCGCTGACTTCACTGTTGAGTGAAGTAAGTATGAGTCTCCTAAGGAACATTAGTTTTCTTATGATAGTAAAAACATTTTGATATATGCAAGGACTCGAGTCAAGAAAAGTTCTGTTTCTTTCGACTAAATGGTTGACTTTTGATATCTAGCTCAAAAAAATTAGCCCACAATCACCTGTAGATATGTTTCAAATTGTTTGTTTTTTCTCACAATGAAATTTTCAGCAAGAGTCTTAGTAAGTCAATTGTATAATTATTCTATAATTGTATAGAGGAATCATTCTAAGATTCTAAAAAAAGAATCTAGGATCATTTGTATTAGTACTCAGAAGAGCTGATGTCATATGTAACAACTAGTACTCAAGTAAACTTGTAGAGAATTATCCTATGGAATTTGATAATTTTGTTCCTGTTTACCCTTTTTTTCGTGACCTCCTTCTTTATTTACCTAACTTTCATCTTTGTATCGGTCATCTTGATGTGATAATATATTATGGAATTCGGTAACTCGAAGAGTTATACACAATTACACAAGATCCTAATATTGACGGTGATTAACTGAAATCTTTATAATCTGTATTCTTTCCTCGTTATGTTCAAGAATATTCCTGTAGTTAACTCATCACAAACTTATAAAGTATTCAGTTCAATTTCGAATCCATATGCACTCAATAATCCTGTACACATGTATACAGTATTCAATGAGCCACACCTATTGTGTGACGCTTAGTGATACTACTTGACTATCTAAACCTCGATAGATAGAGCGGTATTTGAAGCCCGTGATCCAGTTTACAGAGACATTAATCAACACTTATGATAAACATTTAATGGTACGAAACCCTAGATAAAATAGGGTTTCCCAAAGACTAGATTTAGGTACTCGATAGGTGTTCAATCAGTAGTAAGTAGGTCATGGATTCCATCCAACCTTGCACTATCTCTTGTCTATCGAGATCTCGGCAGCCAGATAATATAATTAACCTTAACAAAGTAGGTATCACAGATTACCTACTGCACAACGGTACATGTAGGATTGTGAATTGCGAGAAGAAAGTGTACCATAGTGGTGTATTATTTCAGTAAGTGGTTACCTGATCGATAGACTTTGGACTTGGCAGCTGTATCGATTGTCATTCATTGAGTAGTTGAGTATTTTCCAAGTTGGTATTCATCACGAACTGACATCATTTGGAGGAAGATTGGAAACGTGGAAGCACTGGATACCTGTTTTGTCCTAATATACGACTTCTCAGTACTGAACACCCATGACCCCGCTTCAACAGGGGTCGAACCAAGGGCCTTCACGTTCTATGGCCAGCATGTTAACAAAACTAGATAAAATGAGAGTTACGATGGCTACAACAAGGTAAACCTGATGAACAGGGGATTCAACAAAAATTTGACTGTTACTTGTTGATGATAAACAAGTCTGACTAACTGAATCCCTTCAAAAGGCCTACCTAAGCCTGCCTTGCTCAGTGATAACGGTAGCTGACCCACTATAGCCCTGAATGATATTAGTTCATTCAGATTGTAATCCAAATGTGGAAGTTTTCCTAATCAAAGTACCAGATAAATCCTACTGATAGACATCGACAAAGATGAAATGTACGGGGGAAAATATTCTCTAATTCGCCCATATTCACAAATTCCACAGTAAATATTTTAGTTTCAAACGATTACTCCCTTTTATGAATTTCGATAGCGTAATTAGAAGATGAAATTTATCTGATCACACACATTTACTTGTCTCAACTCAATATATATAACAAGTTTTTATTCATCGTACACTGACATTTGTTAGAGGGACAAAAAATAATCTGAGAGCACTGGACACCTGTTTCGTCCTAGTATGGGACTCCTCAGCAGTGCGCACCCATGACCCCTTCAGGGATCGAGCCCGCGACCTTCAGGTTTCGTAGTCAGCACGTTACTATTGAGCCACTGGGTCAGAATCCAATGGTCCATATTTCCAGCTTCTGTTAGCTCACGATATAGCGCAACCGCCACACAACGTCATCGTTGAGTAACTGTCCTCAAGACCATCAGGCTTTGCCCCCACCGGTCACGACTTCTCATTGGAACTTCAGGAATACCTCTCGAAGCTAGTCACCAATGAGCACCAGTTCAATTGAATTTTGAGGGAGTTGTGGGGATTTTGGAAATATTTCAAAATCCCCAAAACTCCCTCAAAATTCAATATATATTAAACCAAAGAGTGGGAGGACAAATACAACAATTAACACAATAGAGGAAAGACGAAAACAAACAGGAAACGACCCAGTTGATCCTTATCTTGGTAAGAAAACAAAGTTTACCAAAGGGTAGGTGTAGTGTAAGAACGAATTGTTTCTGTACACATAAAGGTGGTTTAAATTTGTGTATGGCTATGGATTCTATAAATCCCTGAATACGTCCCTGACTGACTGTTTCTATATAAAACTTTGAATGCTGCTTGAATATTAATTTTGTGACCTGTTTCTATGATATGTTTAGCTATAGATGAAGAGGGTCGTCTCCCACCAGCGTTTATCACTGTTTTACACTCCATTTGTTTTTGAAGCCATTTAGGCACATGTTCTCCCACCCTTAACTGCATAACTCGTTTACTCCTCCCTTATGTATGTATGACCACACACACATGTAAATTGGTAAACACAATAGGATGTGATATAATCATTGGTGGAGTGTTTAGGTTTTTGGTGAAGCATGTGTTTTGTTTTCTCCACAATGATGAAATTCGCCGCGTAATATGTTTTCTTAGTGAATGATATCAGCCTACGCCCCAAAATGATACTATTCAACTCCCCTCTGTATGGTAGAGTGATATAGACGCTTTTCTTAGGAACCGTGTATAGAGTTGGCTTTGGTGCTACTTGATCTCTACAACGGCTTATAAACTTCATCGGATATTTATTTGCCGTAAATGCCTTGGTGAGTAATTTGATGTCTTCATCTATCGTATCTGGTGTACTGATATGATAAATCCTATTAAACAGCCATTTTTACTACACCACGCTTGTACTGGATTAAACAAAAGCTGTGAAAATTTAGGTATTGTCCTATCCATGTAGCCTAGTCAATAAACTACCTTAGTGTAAGTTAGTTACCATCACCAGCAACGATGTTGTTGGAGTTCACTAGGAGAGTATGGTAATTAAATTCTAGAGCGTATAACACATTCGGTTAGCTAATAAGCTGTAGTATGTCATAGTGTGCAATAAGATCACCCAGATCCGCATAAGGGACCATTCAAGAAGAAACAAGTGAACCTACGTGTAAATATTAGATTAGTTGAAGAGGTAAAATCAATAGGATATACCTAGGAATAGTCAAGGACAGTGCAGATATATATATATAAACCCCTGTATTTTGACGTTGCAATACACCTCCTGTTATCTTATCTCCCTTTTCCACTTACGGAGAAACCAAGTGACCGTCAAGAGTGGAATCTGAATATTACTATTCAAGTATTCACTCTCAAACATGTACAACGAGGATATATCAAATGGTGATATATATATATATATATATATATATATATATATATCACACCATACTGTAGAAGATTTAAATTTCGATCAGACTCGAACTGAACACTTATAGATCATCCTTTACATGTTACACCACTTCAACTACAAACAATAACTGCCACATTAACCTCTGATAGTTCCGTCTAGATTTCAGATAAATGAGGAATATCTGACATTTAAAAAATAATAAAAGAATTCAGTAACTTTGGAGGTTTCCTCGATGTATTCCGAAGATGAAAAATGAAACTGTTGAAATAGCTGGCAAAAATGCTTGGTGACTGGAGTTCCAGTCGGTCAATAAATATCAGTTAGGATAGGCAGTTTTTTTTATACAGATTTCTATCTCGAACTGACCAACAAGTTATATACATGCAGGCAACATAAATAACCAATACTCCAAAAGATATGTCAAGTATTCCATGATTTTGTTGAAGACTTAGAGCATGCCGATCCTCTACATAACTCAACGTGGTATGTTAGGGGAAACTGGATTAAGTTGTAAAAAGGTTCAGAGTGGCAAGATAAAGACTTGACACCAGTTGATAAAGTCCCTGACTGTTGGCTTGAACCCTGTGGAGAGATATAAACTACCTGATTGAGGACAATTGTTGACATGACTGAAAATCGGTCACAATGGCACAGATGTTGTATCCACTTCTTGACATATTCAGAAGTTTGAATACTCATACATTAATAGAAATCAGAATATGAAGAAGTGAATGTGACGCTGCAACTTTAAAACAGCAAAATCTTATATTTTTAAAGACTTGAACAATTTTAGACTATAAAGGGCTAAATCAGTATAATAGTTAAACAATTCACTATAGATTAGGCATTCACCTTAGAAAGGAGCTTATATTCACTTGAAAAGTAGACTGTTCGAGAATAGTGTATGTGCCCTCATCACAAATATTTACAAATGGTAAAGGTGGAAACATTTCGAACTGAAAATATGGTTTCGTAGCGAGGGCAGCAACATACGGAACTACACTATAGCCAGAATCACCAGCATTTTTATGACCACCAGAGCTCGAATCCGGGACCATTGAAATAGAGGGTCATAATTTAATGGTCCATATTTCCTACGTCTGTCAATTCACGACATATCGATAAGATATCAAGACAGATACTTAACGACAGAATTGGATGGAGATAGCGGTATATCGCGAACTGACATGAGTGCTGGCTGCGGAACCTGAGGATCCTGGTTTCAATGTCTGCAGGGGTGGGGTCATGCATGTGCAGCGCGCTTAGGAGTCTCATGTTACGACAAAACAGGTTTGCAATGCCCTTAAGTTTCCAATCTCTCTTCAATTGATTTCAATTCATGATGAATACTAACCTGAAAGAGAAATACGCTGAAGTAAAAGTTTTTCCAATATCACAAGAATCCTATTGCTTAAAGTCTCCATTCTCAGGAACAAACACATATGAAACTGCATAACAGATCTCACTGTATTGGATTTTGGAAGAACTGAAATGTGTGAGGACAGTTACTCAATGATGACATTGGGTGGCGGTTGCGCTATATCGTTAGCTAACAGAAGTTGGAAATATGGACCATTGGATTCTAACCCAGTGGCTCAATAGTAACATGCTGGCCACGGAACCTAAAAGCAGCGGGTTCGATCCCTGAAGGGGTCATGGGTGCGCACTGCTGAGGAGTCCCATACTAGGACGAAACAGGTGTCCAGTGCTCCTAGGTTTTCTTTCTTCCTCCAACTGATGTCAATCTACGATGAATAACAACTTGAAATATTTCCAAATCCCCATAACTCCCTTAAAAAGACTTCAAACTCTTTTCTCTTAAACAAAAAAGTCCATTAGAAGGGAGTATATCGTTCAAAGAAAGGAAATTAAAAAAGGAAACCCAAGGAGACTTTCACTAACCTCTGAAATTTTACACTTTTTATCCTTCACAAATTTATAGCATACAGATTTTAAATCATTATCTGATACACTTAAAGGTAGATTACGTAAACACAATCGGATATCACTGATAAAATAATTTGGATCAGTAAGTTTCATCTTCTTCTCTCGTAATAATCCATCTCTTCTAGCTAAATCTTCTTTGCTTAAATCTTTGGCTTCAGCTGTTCCCGGACGAATAACTACACAACACAAAGGAAGAAAGATGAAATTAAATACTTTTAATTTAGAGAATTAAATAATTATTTAGATGATATAGGAGTAGAACTTGACCAATATCGTCTGTTTATTGGAAATGTTACACACAGTGAAGGAACAGTATCATTTACTGGAGAATAATGTTTCAGACACAATTTACTGTCTACACTCATATTAAGTCAGGTAACTCCACAACTTAGAGACAGAGTTTATATAGTCTCTAATTCAAGGGTAGTAGAATCTTCCCGTATATCGGGAACAGGTGCAGGATCATTTCTGTTACTGTATGTATTTGATGTGTGTTGATTCGATAAACAAAGATTCAGTTATCAATCTCTCCCTCCCTCCACTCAACTAAGTTAGTTTTCTACACTGTCGGTCTATCCTACCCTATTGTGTGTAACTGTGAGCAGAGCTATAGCCGAGCTTTTCCCTAAAAATCTTATTAGAATCTACTAATGTTGATTTATCTAAATTTTTGTGCTCTGTTATTCAAGTTGACCCTGGTCGACTACTTTTACCTATGCAATTTGATCTCACAATCATTGTAAGGGATTTGGTAGAGAAAATTATTTTGTTCAATTGCATCGATAGGATCTTTTAATCTACAAAGCTTGTTTCTAAGCGAGTTTGTTAGTTTGAATGGTAACCAATTTAATCCTAGTCAGCCTTATTGAAAATTCTTCGTTATGTTTCTGAGGTGCCTTTTTTTGGTATGATAACACAGCAAAGGCTTTGAATTCTCTTTCAACCCTGTCACCATTATTACTATTAGTAGTAGGATGATTATTAAAAACACCTGTGTTACTACTACTGCCACTACTAATATTTACCTTTCGGTTTCTTATGAATTTATTTATAAATCTAGGTGGGTAATTATTGATACGCCGGATATTCTTGATGTGTTTAATTTCTTATCGCAGATTTTCTGGGCTACTAGTGAGCTTTTACGCTCTATCGCTTAAGCATTTAACTAAGATAGACTGGGAGAATTCGAATAGGACGGTGCTCTATAGACACTAATCTTTAAACTTCTGTCATGTGTTCATTTAATCTTGCAATCCAACATTGCTAGCTCACCTTCATCACCTTCTAAGTCACAGGTAAATTGGATTGCACTCACTACTGAATTTATATGTGCTAGGAACCTATTGATGTGTTGCGATTTCAGTACTCTAAACGTATCGTCTACATACAGAAATCATATCTTTGGAGCAGGACTAAATGTTTGAGAGGTCATCCGTTTCTAACTATCCATAAATATGTCTGTGACGATACGGGATATCGGTGATCCCATAACGACCCTTTTAGTTTGTTGATATATTTTGGAAGGATGTTGTGATTTTTTCTTTTGTAAACATAAAATAGAAGCAGAAATATATTTTCTCTATTTATGCTATAAGAATGATTCTAATTCATTTGATGCTGAACGGAAAACATACGAAAAGTCCAACATAATTCAAATTTTACACTGGATAGCTGTTTCCTTCTGGCATGGGACTCCCTCAGCGGTACGCACCCACCACCGTAACCAGGGATCAAACTCAGAGCCTTTAGGCCATACAGTGAACGCGTTAACCATCCAGTCACTGGTCTACAGTTTTCTACTTTTGTCAATTCGCGATACAGCGCAACATCTACGAAGATCTTTCATTGGCATCTGCTTCGTTTCCGACTGGTTGATCTCACAGGTCAAATCTTCCCATTAGGACTTCAGGATATTCATCTTAAAGCATGTCACTGATGAGTAATGTAATCCAAGTTCCTTAGAAGTCCTTTACTAAGACGAAATAGTTGTTCAGTGCTCTAAGGTATCCAATGGTTCTCTAAATGATGCCAGTTTGTAGTGAGTAATACCTCGCATATATCTCATGATTTTTACACCTAGTGTACAATTTGACCACAAACTGAATTATATGTTGAGGTAAAATTTTCTACCTACTAGACATTTCAATCTCAAATGAACTAGAATAGTTCTTACATGTGATAAGTGAAAAAACGAATGCAATTTTGTCAATATAATATTTTTCTTCCTAAAAACAAGAAATAACTGAATAACGGATATATTAAAATCAAATAAACACAACATATTTAAAGAGAAGATGTTTATTAGATTAATTATTCAACTTTTAACATGCGAGCCATAGGTTCGAAACCCGCGACATCTACAAAGCTTAGAGCAGCAAGGTGGCTTTTATACAACACTTATAGCTCATTATCTATCCCATGGACCTGTATAATAGTATTGATGAGTAATATTTCCTTTGTTTACTTATTTACGCTGAAATAGCCAAACTTGGCTTACATTTGATAGCTAGCAGTATGAAAACTTGATGCAAAATGAAAGCAATACTGAGATAAAGAAAGTTATAGAAGCATTCGAAGATATAAAACAGGCAGACTAAATTCAGTAAAATGTAGGACAAAATATCTATGATCAACTTGGAACGATATATTTTTAAAAAGACTTTAAGAGAATCACATTCGATAAAAACTATTAAACTTTAATATCAGTGAAATCTAGGCTGATTCATACCCCTGCCTAAAAACCCAATTTATTTGCTCACTAGGCATCATAATAACAGTATACGGAACTATACTACTGAGCTTTTCATTGTGAATCACTTGGTATGTAGCATCATATACCTGCTGTTGGATAAGGTTGATAAAGGTTTGTGTTGAAGCAGCTGCCAAGTTACTTCTTGGTCGACGGTATCGAAGACCCTTTCAAAGGTGAAGTGTTGACTGCCATTCTATGCTCTCTTCTGTGATGATGCGTAGCGTCAGTGCGGTTTCAGTGCCACAAACCTTTATCAACCTCATTCACCACCAGCTAGATGCTATATGATGAGGCTACATGCCAAGCGACTCACAATGGAAAGCTTAGTTGATGCCTTTGAAGTGAAGACAGGAGTAAGACAAGGTTGCCGCCCACTATCTATCAACGATGATCTTCCTGATTGTGGTCTGCTGGACTCGACTGGATCGTGCAACAAACTGTGAGTAGCGAGAAGTGCAGTATACGCCGGCCGGACCGATGAAAAGAGCCCACAAGAAGATTTGGATTTCTCAAACGATGATTTGTGTCCGGTGTCTTGTTGAACAAACTCGAAGATCTATAAGTGAAAACCAACAAGTTGACAGAACAGGTGAGGCAGCGAAGACAGGACTTCCTTCAGGTGAATGGAGAGAAGACACAGGTGATGAAGATACCTAACCAACAACAACAAGCTCCAATCACCATCAACAGGAGAAATCTACACGAAGTTGTCTCTTTCACCTAACACCTAGGCAACGCATCATCCTTTCATCTATACGCGGCACAGGCACAGACGAGGAAGTCGAAGCCAGGGTCGGAAAGACAGCAAGACAGGCGTCCACTAATCTGGAACCAGTGTGGAGATCTTCTGCACTCAGCATAAAATGTGAACAACATCCGGATTTTTAACACCAGTGCCAGTCAAATCAGTGCTTCTATTTGGTTCAATCAGAGACTTGGCGTGTTACGAAAGGGATTTCCAACAAACTACAGATATTCATCAACAACTGCCTACGCTGGCTCGATACTGAAGCTCAGATGGCTGGTAACGAACCAACGAAGCAAGAACCTATCGCTGAACAAATATGCAGTGGAAGGAAGTGGAGATGGATTGGGCATGCACTGAGACGACCATTCGGTGACATCACGCGCCAGGACGTAGAGTGGAATCCAAATGGGAAACGACGAGTTGGGCGTCCGAGGAAGGAACGAAAACGTACAGGCAGTCGTGCGGCCAGGTTCAAAAGACTGCAGAGAATAGATTAAAGCGATGACGTGCTACTACGTTCCACTAGGAACCCAAGGTACAAATAAATTATATATATATATCCTATGTAGATTACATACAGCTCTCCGACAGCCTATATCGACTATTCGACTCATGAACTTCTAGATCAACGCTGCAGCCTGAATTCATCACTCCAAGTTCAGCGTACATCCAGCCCAGTACGAAGCCGGATGCATGTGTGAGCAGCAAACCCATGAATACCAAGCCAAACCAGATCGCTTAAACAGGGTAAAATGGCAGAGAAGTAAACAGGGTGGAGTTCATGCATATAGTACACAACTATAAGATCATGTACTCCCCCATCCACCCTTGGCGAGCTGACAACATATAGTCACGTAAACACCATGAGAGGATCGGACAGGCTAGGTACCCCGGCTAAGCAATCATCGAACTCCATTTTAGATATAAAGATTTTACCAGCATGTTTCAGCACATAGTATTTATATACCTCTACGGAAACTTTGTTACGACTTTTACTTCCCCCTAAGTAGTCAAATTAGGTAGTCTTCTCCGCATCAGTCGAGCGGCAAGCCACTTCAACGACACCAAGTTAATGACTTTACTAAACTATTCAACTGGTAATAGCGACGGGCGGTGTGAATTCTCAATAGGTCTGCATCAACATATTATGAAAATTTATCAATTTTTCAGGGCGACTACCGTTTTCGCATCATTATAATTAGGAATACATGCTTCAATCTTCCAGAACTCATTGTAACTGCTCAAATCAAAGCTGAAAGAGATCTGATCTGCTACGAATTATAAATCGATAGTATAGTAAGCGAGTTTTACACTACTTGTCACCACACATTTCTAAATGACGTTTACAACTGGGTACTAGGCAATGAAGGCAAATTAGTCGATAAGGTTATTTACCTTCATCTACTAATATGGCATGGATATGTGCTGTGCATGTCAAGCCACCGCCTACCATCTATGTGGAATCGCCAGAGGAACTCGGATTACATTGGAAAAAAGTTTGGAGTGGCCATACTAAGATGTGGCACTAGTCGATAAAGTTCATGACTGCTGATCCTCAGCCATCTGGAGAGATGTAGTCTGACTGGGTGGGGTCTCCGACACGATAAGAACCAGTTGTTGAGGATTCTCGGTGATATGACATAGCTGAGAATTGGTCAAAATGGCAAAGACGCATTTACTCCTTGATGTCTTCTAAAGCTTAAATATTTGTACTAACTGTTTCCTTCAAATTGTTCATTCTCACACACAACTTTGTCCAGTCTGATATCAGATCTTTTTTTATCCACTTCTGCTCTTTTTGTCCTACTGTAAAGTGTGGCAATTTGTGTTGATCCACTTGTGTGTTTGTGTGTATGTGAAAAGTCCAAAGAAGTTTGACGCAAGTTGACTGCACTAACCACCTACTCCTCTAATCAATCTACTTAGACTAGGGGTCCATCATCATCCATCAACATAGGACCAGGTATTACTGCATAACCCTCCGAGTTGTCACACCTCATATCACTACATCAAGTAAAAACGCAGTGAAGTGGAAGATGAAGAAAATAAAATTCAGTCAAAAGAAATATAAAGTACTAAAAGAGAGAAAGGAAGAATGAGAAAATGGTGAGATTCCGTATAGCGTCGTTAAGATGAGGATAATGTGTAGACATCTGTGCCATTGACATCGGTTCTCAACCATATGACCTAGAATCTCCAACCGCTGGTTTCTCTTGTCCTGCGGACCCCAACCACCCAGTCTGCATCGCCCCACATGGTTCGAACCAACGGTCAAACACTTCACACATTTATGCCATGTTCTAGTCTGGTCACCTCGGGCTTTTTTCCAGCCTGAACCTATTTCGACCAGCATTGCACGACGAGGCAGACGGCAACTAGGCATATGTAACACGTGTCTCAGTCATCTTAGCCGATGAAGGTCCATAATCGTGTTAACTGGCTTACCTCTTCTACCTAAAACTCTACGCCTCCCTTCTGCATTACTCACGTGGTGACACCACAAAACACGGCCTATACTACGAAGGCAACGGTGATCAAGCACCTGAAGCCAGCCTTCTCATGTCGTCCATCTTCAATGGCCATATTTCACAGCCGTAGAGTAGAACAGAGCGGACTGTTGTGCAGTACACGCAACCCTTAACAGACAATCGGATATCACGGAAACGCCACAGATGACGTAAGTTGGCAAAAGCCAGTCGAGCCTTTTGTATTAGTGCACAGATTTCATATTTCATATTTTAACTTCTTTATGGTCTAGTTAGTCACTAAGAGATCGAACTGCAACACCATGATGACAAATTTCGTTATAATTGCTACCTGGTCGATGAGATATTGTTGGAACTTAGGATCAGAAAATATGGGCTTTGTTAATCTACAGTGGTTAGTAAATACATCCATCAATCATGACACTAAGCGAACAGATCCGTGGCAGCAGCTCAGGTCGTTGACAAATAAGACGGACATTTTGTTGGCAAACAAATCAAACAAAACAAGATATTTATTGATACAGTGCAGTAATCAGCAAACAACCGGTATTTTTAATCCAAATGATGAGAATATATTCACGCTAAGAGATTACAATGAATTATTTTTCGCTAAGATGAAATACAAAGGTTCAGTGGAAGATAGGAATATATTGCACTGTACAACACCGAAACTGACTGACTGACAAAATCAACGTAGAACTACGCACACAGGTGCATCAGTTCAAGTTGTCACACTTCACAGTAGTATACAAAGAACAAGTGGATAGAATAAGTGTAATATCAAAATAGACAAAGTTGTGTGAGATAATAAACAATCTGAAGATGATGGTTAGTGCAAATATTCAAGCATTAGAAGACGTCAATGAGTGAATATATCTGCCCCATTTTGACGGATTCTCAGCCATGTCACCAAGAGCCATCAACCACTGATTCCTTTAGTCTCGGCGACCGTAGTCAAGCAGTCTACATCTCCCTACACGCTCCGACACAAACAGTGAGAGACTCCATCGACTTGTCCCACATTCTTGTGTGACCACCCTGAACCTTCTACCAGTGTAATCCAACTTTCTCTGGCATTCCATATCGAGGTAGGCAGTGACTCGGCATGTACAGTACATTTACAAGTCATCTCAGTCGACTAAGCTTCAAAAATAAATCAGTCGACACGCCCAGTACTCTTCGCCTGACTTCAACATTACTCACACAGTGATTCTATCCAAAGCGACTAATGCTACGAAGACATCTGTGATCAAAACCCCGCAACCCCTTCATCTCTTCTACTTTTAACGGCTGTCTCAGTTGCAGAACTGACTGCGTAGCAGCGTAAGCGTTTTTTGATAGATAGTCGGATATCTCACCGGTGTCACAGGTGACGCAAGTTGGCAAACGCCAAACGAGCTGAGACTTTGTCACCAACCAGCCGGCTCGGACTGATGCAACTCCCCAAAGTAAGTGAACTGATCGACACAGTCCACCATTTTGCTCCATATCATCATACTGGGAGTGGTTGCGGACTAGTCCTGTAGCATGTTCAACATATTCAGGTTTCTGTTCAACGTGTCTGAATGTTGTCAGTGTCTTCGCTTAGCAGGACAATATCGCCTGCATACTCCAAGTTAACAGTATGACTAACATGAAGTAGGTTAATCCTTGTGAAGTCAGACTTACCTAGTGTTATGTCCATTAGTATGTCTGTGGAGTAGTTAAATAGGAATGGTGACAACACCGAAGCATACATTTGATTAACAGGCTTCGTAGTACGCTAGTTTTAATTTAGATTCACCTGTAAGTGCCAAGGGGATTTTACTAACACACTGGCTTTTTACTTATCATGGAAAAGAACATGAACTTCACTTGATCTTTATGCACAACTTCCTATCTGTATCAATGTCTTTCCTTAGGTCTCCTTGTTAGAAACAGTAACCACTTTATCCCAATTATCCGTATGGAAAGTTTTTAACTAGCAAACAACATGGTCGGAATGACACTAGGTAGGCAGCAGAAGTCAGAGAGATGGAAAAAGTCATGGCGATAGATAAGGGTAGAATTGTTTAGAATTATAAAGGGAACTGGGGGAAAGGTTAATAAGACTACAGCGCAGAAGTATGGATCCGATTCAATCAGGTGAGATGACTGAAACGATGGGCAGAACACTTCGAGGAACAGTTCATCTGACCTCCAGCAACTATTCCATTGCCCACTATCCGGTCAGGTCCTGAATGTCATATCGAGATAGGACGCTAAACGCATACAGAAGTAGAGGAAGATGTAAGTAATCCAAAACCATGAAAATAAGCAAGACTAGACGGACCAGGACTGGAGTTGTTTAAAGACGGTGGTCAAGGATTACTGGTCAGAGTAACTGGTGTTATCCAGCATATGAGAGTCAGATATGATCTCTGATTGGTGTCAATCACTGATTGTTCCAGTCTTCAAGACAAGACAGAAATCCTCTTGTGATAACCACAGGGGAATCAGCTTGATGAACATGGTGTCTAAGATTCCAGGTCCTTAATCATCAGGTGTCTAAGTGAAGTCCGGGAACAGCAAACCGTAGAAAAACAGTCAGGCTTCAGACCTGATCGTATGTGTATCGACCAGGTGTTCACCCTTCACCAGGTTCCGGAACACAAACACTTACTGACGACCGACACTAGAAGTATTTCTCCACATGAAGGTGCCATTTGACTTCGTCGGTCGAGATGTCTTATGGCAGTATCTCTCGCTGAAAGGTGTGCCAAGTAAGTACATCACTTTGTTGAAGGCCTTGTACTGAGACAACTATCAGCGTATTACAGCCCATGGTGACTTATCAGATGAGTTGTCTACATCGACCAGTGTCCGTCAATGATGTCCACTCTCTCTGTTCCTATTCGGTTTTACTATACAAGTACTTATGAAGGTCTTCCTCTCATCATCTGACTACACGGGAATTGGCCTTATGACACGAGAATCCTTGGTAGATCTTAAGTAAGCAGATAATATAGTCCTGTCATATGAAGAGCCTTTTGTATATCTTAGTGACAATCTGAGAATACTTGGGATGTTTCTCGCCACCCAAATACAAATTGTTACTACAGGACTTGTTTTCGCTGGTGTTTTGCTTAAAAACAGAGAGTGAAATGGTCTCGCGCCTGGCCAACTTCATTTAATTAGGAGGTCGGATCAACCCTGGTTAGTCAGTGACCGACGAAATCTCTGCACGGATACAAAAGGCTATATTGACTTCTTCTAACTTACGCTATCTGAGACGCCACCGTGATATGCAATTGTCTATTAAGGTTCTAATGTACTTCGCTGCAATTCGCTTCGTTCTATATGAATACAAAACACGGCCACTAAAGGTAGAGGATATGAGAAGGCTTCAAGTATTTGACCATCTCTGCCTTTGAAGCATAGGCCGTGTCGTGATTTTACGGCGTAATAGGACAGGAAAGTCAGTTGGTACAGTCATGAATCTCCATAGGCTTAGGTGGCTAGGAAGTGTATGACGTATGCCTGGTCCCCGTCTGCCTCGTTGCATAATGTTAGCTGAAGTAGGTTCAGATGAAAGGAAAGCTAGAGGTAACTAATCTAAAATAAAGCAAAAGTCCTCGAATTCTTTAAATGTTGGTCTGAGCCGCATTTGGAAATGCAGACTACCTGGTTGGGATCTTCACTACAACAGAAATCAGTGATTGGAGACTCTAGGTGTCATGGCTCAGAACCGATCTCAACAGTGAAGATGTATCACACATTATCGTCATACTAATCGTGAAAATGAACTTCAGTATTGTCTTATTCTTTCTTGCTCTTTTTTCTACTACCTCCTATCACTTCGACCGCTTTCTCTATTCCTTTATCTTTCATCTTAGTGCTTTCCCTCTTGATTTGCTTATATGAGACGTTACGCAGTGATGTCTGGTCCCAAGCTAAGCTTTTTTATCTGCCTTTTTTTCTTGTGGGGTTATCACTCATTCGTTAAGCTGCCGAGTGGACTTTGATTTTTTTTATCTATCTTTTCAAGGTTATCATAGGAATTTTCTGAGATACAGTATGGTTAACGTGTGTGCATAAATTACAACGAACTTACTTCCAACAGATGCTAAGTGTAGATTGCGTCCCTTCAGTTTGACAACATCTGCAGGAGCTGCAGTATCCGCCGACATATTTAATTCACTATCAGATTTTCTTTTACGCAAATTTTCGGCTTCAGATCTGGAGACAGCAATAGATATGTTCAACGTCCGATTGTCAAGAACAAACTGGTGAGCATTCTACACGAAAATCAATAAATTACGAAAGTTAGTTATAATTCCTATTATGAAGATACCAACAAGTAAAACTACTCAATCTCCCTGTAAACCCAGATTTTCCAACTAACCTCAGGTCTAGCAGATTGCTGTAAAACGTTTAACGCATCGTCCACATTTAGAAACTTCACGAAAGCTGTTCCCCGAGAATGCTGTGTTGCTGGATCTTTAACGATTTTCGCAAATTCTAGAGGCCCAAATTGTGCGAAAAAGTCGAACAATGCATTTTCTTCAACATCGAAAGATAGATTCCTGAAACGTTATAGATAAGACGGTAATTACATGTTTAAAAATTTAAACACATTTAGTAATTCATAATCTTATATTATATGATGATTCATTTGATCTAGAAAAGTTTCTATCCACCCGACAGACAGATGAATCACCTTAAAACTTTGCACAAAAGTGTGTCAGTCAAATTACCACGTTTCACAAGAGAATCCGAAGATGAAGACCGAAGAATTAAACGAAAGTAGACAAAGGTGTGTAAGGAGCGACGGATGGAGGTCAGTGTAAACGTCAAAACTCCGAAGATAAAAAAGGGTTAACAACTGCGCGATTGCAGTCTATTTTAAGCTACATTGCTAAAAGTTTACAATTACTGACTCCTAACGCCTCAGCAACCCCAGTTAGACAGTCTACGCGGCTCACATAAACAGTCAGAGACTTCATCAACAAGTGTGACTTCTTAGTCCGACCATCCTTAGCCTTCTTTCAACTCCAAACTACTGCATTTATCGTCACAAGTCTTACACGACCGTGACTAGGGATATGCAACATGTTTTAGCCACTTCACGTGATAATCGTTCACAACCTCATAAAATGATTTGCTTTACATGCGTAGTACTCTATGACTTACATCAACAATTCTTGCATAGTGATTCAGCAGCATACGAAAAATGTTGCGAAAACATCCAGGGTTGAAAACTCTTGTCCTATAGACGTCTTCGACTTTAAATACACGTATGTCACCCTTACAACAGGACAGAGAGGACCGCTGCATAGTACACTCCTTCTTCGATAACTAGCCGAATATATCATCAGCATAACACTTGGCGTAAGCTGGTAACCGATAAACTGGCCTTATTCGGTCGACATTTGCTACCTTGTAGCGGTGGTCGGGCTTGCATATCACAATGACCCAAACAGCTATGCTGGTGGAACGCGTGTTTCCTCAAGGTCTTTCAGATAGTGGTAAGATGAAAAGTAGTTGCCGTTGTAGTGCGAATTACTATACTTCGATGGGGATCTGAGAATGAAGTCGTACTGCTGCTAGCTGTATAGGGTATGACAGCAGAAAGTTGTTTCCCTTGTCTTCCTGTTTTTCCCAAAATCGATTGCTCAACAACAAATGTTGAAATTAAATCTCCATAATTATCATCATTGATGAGCAGCTTATTACTACTGTTATTATTATTATTTGTCGTTTGAGTTCCAAGTGGAACATAGGGTTTCAGTAGCACGTCACCATTTCATTCTCTTCTCCGTAGTCTTTTTAACCTGGCTCCACCACTGCCCAAGAGCTTTCATTTCTTCCTCACACGATTTCGCCCAACTCGTCGTTTCCCATGCGGGTTCCACTCGAGGGCCAGGCGCATGATATCATCCCCACTTTCTTCTGCATATTTGTTTGGTGATGGGTTGTTGGTTGGTTCATTATCAGATCAGAGTTCCTTGTTGCTTATTCGTTCTGGTCATCTGATCTTAAGTATCAAGTGAACGTAGGCGGCAGCTGTGGATGATGTATAACTGTAGTTTGTTGGAAATGCTTTTCGTAACGCGAGGTTGAGCAGCTTCTTAGAGTGGATAAAAGTCCAATCCTACAATTACTGAAAAGAATTCATTGACCACCTACCTACCTAATGATTTAAATATTATTCCTGACTGATTATAAGTTATATGAAGATCAGTGATGGTACTGGAAAAAAGACACGCTCTACCCCACGTTTTACGACTTCATGACATAATTCATAATTAATAAGACCTAAAGTTTTACCTTTTTTAAATCCAATTTGTAGGCACCCACAGTTATTCTTGATTTTTTTTCCTGAACTCCAGTTGTCAATTATCGATAAAGACGACGGTTTTAACTCCCTCGTCATTGTTACAAATCCCAATTGTTTTTTCGCCAAAACAATGTTGATGTTTTCATGAAGACTGCATTCTTCATGTATTTATTAAGTGAAAAATAAATTTTGTCTTCAGTATCCCAAAAGTCACTCACTTTTGAGTGATACTTCCAAGATTCGAAAATGGCACGGATCTTCAATTTTACCATAACACAGACTTTCTGTCTTATTCACCTTTTCTAAATTCATAATCCAAGTCTTTTAAGATAATGTTCCCAAGATATTCAACTTTAGGATGTGGTTACGAGAGTGCTTAACAAATGCAAGATATCAAAGTGTTATAGAAAATATCGAATATACCACCAAGAACTTTGTTTTATGTGGACGACAGTATTCATCAGGATTCTCAATCTAATTTCATTCGCGAAACGAAACATTCAGACTACGATGCCGTATGTACCAGACAAACGTCATATGAAATTAACAGGACAAAAAGTGAACACCGAAGAGTCTTCCACCCAACCCCCTAGAAATACGAGAGAACTCAGAGCTTGCCCAGTCGATGGTGGTGGTCGGGCTTGGCCCAGACAGCCATCTTTGTGACATGTGTTCCCTCGAGGTCCTACTATCCCAGGAAGGTCTATCGGATAGTGGTAAGACGAAAAGTGGTTCCCGCTATAATGTGAATTACTATACTTTTACGGAAGTCTGAGAGCAAAGTCGTACTGCTGCCAGCTCGTTGGTGTGACCGGTAAGGTGTTTCCCTTAGATGAACGGCAGTGACACCTTGATGCGATCTTTCCCATCGGAAGGGGATGGGATTTAGAAAACGTCGACCCCCAAAACAGCACACGCCTCCCTGCCTCACAGTCTTTCAGTGCCAGGTGCATGGACTTTCTCCATTCGTCATTAGAACAACCAAGTCTCAAAACATCCCGCATAAGGCCATATGTGACAGGCTTCAATCATACGTTTCATGGGCTCTGTGGTAACACAGATCCTTTTCTCTTTCAAATAGTTCAAAAAGAAATAGCCTTCCACAATGTGGGCAACTACTAGGAAGTGTCAAACGCCCACACCCTTCCACTAGTACACAACAGCCAATCAGGCATAACCAATCCTACTCAACTCTGTCTTCTTCTTTGCCTTCACCTCATGATACTAATATTAGGCCCTTTACACTCAACCCAACGTCTCAATTTGTAACCATCGTCAAAGATCAGTCAGTGAAACCTCATTACCAGCTTCCTAAGACCTCGCCATCGACTTCATGGAGCAGCTTTTAACGTCCAAACTTTGCCAAATCGGACAGCAAACATCGCTCGCTAAAACCCTAGAGTCTCTAGATATGGACGTATGCTATGCCTTTGAGACACGTATACAGTACCTGAGTGTGGTTATTAAATTGACCTCATCTGGTCATAGTAGTGGATCTTCAAAATTCGCCTTACGAGTATCCGGACTCACTGGTGTCGGCATAGCATTGAGCTGTTGGGTAGAAAATGCGCTTTTCGACTGGATACCAGTCAACAGCCGTCTATATGCTGTTCGACTGAATGGATCTGTAAGAACTAGGAAGGGTCATGTGACCAACCGATGTCTATTCGTAATCTCTACCCACTCACTCACCAACTGTAGTTCGGATGATGTGAAGGATGAATTCTATGGGAAACTATCAACCTCGCTACAGAAAGCTAAACGTTCAGATATAGTCATAATAACAGGTGACTTTAGCATTCAAGTAGGGAAGCTGAGTAAATCGGAAAGGCATGCATCCTGTGGTGTTTACGAAATCGCATGCCTACAACGGTGATCGTCTGTTGCAGTTTTGTTTCGATAATCACTTGTTCCTGATCAGCATTAATATCAAGGATAAGGAGAAGCACTATCTCACACAGGATCCGCTGACGGTGAACCAACGATGGACGCAGACAGATCATATTGCTATACGCCATCGTTAGAGAAGGTCGGCGGAGGATTACAGCTCTTTCTGGAGTACCTGTTTTGGCTCCAACCACACTCTAGGACGGGCTCATGTCTGCGCCTTACTGGTTGCAGGAAACAGGGGGTAGTTAAACCAATCGGTGCTTGATTGGAAGATGAGGATGGCAAGTGTACATTTAAAGAAGAGTTAGCTAAGCATTTATCTGAACATGCAAGCGATACTCATCTTGAGAAAACTTGGTGTAATATTAAGTCTGCGGTAGAAACTGCAGCAAACAACATGTAACCCACACCAGAAGGTTAGCAAACGTCACTGGATTTATGCGACGTCATCTGAACTGGTTGGTGCGAAAAAAATGATTCCAGCTGACTCTGACCACGACGAAGAGCGAAAGCAAATTAAACGAAAGTTGACTCAGAGTCTTTGCGTCGATAGTAAGCAGTGGCGGGTGGTGAAAGCGAGAGAGATGGAGAAGGCATCAGCGTTGGGTAACACTTGGCAACTATTTTGGGATATTAACTAAAACGAAATCAAAATGTACTCAGTTACCCTCTTCACATTCGTGCAGTAGACATTAAGCCACACCTAGTGTGTGAGTTAGCGACACTACTTTGCTGCCCAAACCTCGGTAGGTGAAGGGTGCCCAAATCAATGACCCGATGGCTGGTAGTCATCTCTCTAAACCCTTTAGGCGTATTAGGCATGCCGGCAAGAAGAAGACGACGGTTAGTGAAACCATCATCAAAAAGGATGGTACCCTGATAACCTCACAGGAAAGGCAGCTACAGTCTTTGGCAGAACACTTTGAAGCACAGTTCAGCTGGCACTCAACAACGCTTCAGTTGCCCAACATCGTCTGTATCTAGATGAGACATATATGGTAATCCCCCAACTCCTTTTTAAGTTAGGAAAGGTTTATTTACCCTGAAAAGATTCAAAGCAGCAGGACCTGATGGTTGGCCACCTGAAGTTATCAAGGATGGAGGTGGGAAATTATTGATTCAGTGATAGAGACACTAGGAAGTGTATGCAAGCCAGAGGTAGTGCCGTCAGACTGTTGTACTTCTCTGATCATCTCAGTCTATAGGAAAGGGGTTGAAGTCTTGTGACAACTATATGGGAATTCGTTTAACCAATAATGTGCCCAATATCTTACGGTTCACAGTTATTCGATGCTTAACTTTAGCGAGAGAACACCAAACTCGAAAAAACTAAGTAGATTTCATACCTGATCGAGGGTGTATTGATCACATGTTTATCCTCCGACAGGTCCTTGAACATGGACATTTCTGCCAGCCAGTGTCGATACTTGCCATATTTCGTGACCTGAAGGCGGTACTTGACTCTGTCTGCTGTGACGTATTGTGGTAGTGTCTGGTTGTGAAAGGAGTACCGAGCAAGTATATAATGATTGTGTAAGCTCTCTACTCGAATTCATGCAGCCGTGTAAGGGCTTGTGGACAGGCATGTGAATTGACGACAACTAGTTGTGTCCTCCAGGGATATCGACTTTTACCGTTGCTAATTAACTTCATTATAGACGTACGAATGGACATAACCTTAGCTAAGTCTGACTTGGAGTATGCCGACGAAATTGTCCTGCCAACTGAAGACGCTGACGTAATGCAGAGGTCTCCTGAAAGCGCTGAGCTGAAATCTGAGTGTGTTTGGCATGAGTTTCTATATTATTTGTCAAATGTAAGATGATGCTCCAGGACTCATCTGCAATCACTCCCAGCGTAAGGATAGGAAGTGGAGTGGTGGAATGTGTCGACCGCTTTATTTACTCAAGGAGGTGCATCAACCCGAGTGGGCTAGTTGCTAGGGCGAACTCAGCTCGGATACAGAAGACCTACCTGACATTTGCCAACTTGAGTCATCTGTAGCGCCGACTGGAAGATATCCGACTACCTATCAAAAAACGAGTATACTACGCTGCAGTCAGTTCCGCCCTGTTACACGACGAGACTAGGCTGTTAAGAGTGGAAGTCAAGAGCCGATTACAGGGTTTTGATCACCGATTTATTCACAGCATTAATCGCGTTTTGTGGAATCACTGTGTGAGCAATGTTGAAGTCAGGTAAAGGGTACTAGGAAAGATAGGCCAGTCGAATGATGAGTTTTTGAAGCTTAGTTAACTGAGATGGCTTAGATGAGTACTGCGCTTGCCGAGTCAACACCTACCTCGACGCGCCCTTTTAGAAGTAGGATTAGGTTGGAAGAGGGTTTAAGGTGGACAGATCAAGATCTGCCACCAGTCGATAAAGTCTCTTACTGTTGATCTGAGTCGTATGGGGAGATGTAAACTACCTGGTTGGGGTCCCCAACATGAAATGAATCAGTGGTTGAGGACATTTGGTAACATCACTGAAAATCGGTCACAATGGCGCAGATATATTCACTCTTTTACACCTCATGAAGCTTTCATATTCACACAAACGTTATCTTCGTATTATCTATTCTTTTACACAACTTTGTCTATACTGATATTACTCCTGTTCTGCCTACCTGTTTTTTGTGTACTACTGTGAAGTGTAGCAACTTGAGCCGATGCACTTGTGTGAGAGGTTCTACGTCGATTTTGTCAGTCCGTTAGTAAAACTGACCTTGTTTCTTGGCTCAAATTTCGTCAGTAACCAACTTAGCGAAGTGGTCAACGTATTTCATCACTTTATTACCTACCCTTAAACTAGGAGTAGGAGCAAACCAGCTCTAAATCATCATTTTACATTTGATAGGTGCAAGACGGATGTCAGACAAAAATTTCACCCGGTGTTTTCATTTGTCAGGACTTTTATCTGCCTACACAAAGTTGGCACGGTACTCTGGATAGTAAGGCAGTTTTTGGAACGTCAGAGATAAGCAGGATCACACCTATTGGAATTCGATCAAACGAAACAGGATTGGTGACGGTGGACATTCTTAGCAGACACCGCTGGTTGACATCACTTCAGGCAACTCTTTGTAACGACGTGAAAACTCCCTCACCTCCAAAACTGAACAACGTAGTCCGAAAGTATGGGAAATGTAGTCGTAATATGTTGCATAGTGAGCTGTTTTAATATGGTAGTGTTACACTCACCTGTCTTACGAGCATCAGTCCTACAGAGGAGCACAAACGTTCTGTCAAATTATACCAACATTCAACCGCTCACTGAGTTGAGTGCAGCCACAACAGGTGAATGATTAAATCCACTCACTTGAGATCCACCGAAGGTAGAGAACTACGTCCCAACGGCGAGAAGTGAGGGCGAGAAAACTAGTTCGTGTGCACTGGTCAATAATAATGTTGGATAACTACATGTGTTTTTTTGATTTTTGCTTTATTTTACACTTTTTGTAGCAGCATATGCGAATAACTGTTTACTTAAATTCAATAATACTCGCGTTGATCGACATAAAGTGCATGGAAAAACATGAGAATTAACTGTTAAATATGGGATGTTTGGATACAGCACCTACAAAGGTGTGACGACACTAGTTTACCACGCTAATTTAATGCAAACCCACGTAGAAATGACCTTTCCAATTCTGGGACTAGAAATTTTACAATCTGAAGTTCAATATAAGTCGAATCTTTATTTGAAGGATTCTATGAAAACTGCTGAAACTACTTGCAATAGAGGAAGATTTCAATGGCTTACAGTATGAGGTGAGAAACAGGCCTCTAAAAGGAAATGACCCGACAATTTCTAGAAAGATGTTCTTACAAACAGTTGCTTCTACAGGAAATGACTCTCGAAAAGAAACTAGTGGCCAAGTGAATTTTAGAGATTTGGGGTTCTAATATGATATCTCTCAGTCACCAATCGAAAATCAAATATTCAACCAACATACAGCTGTTTTCAGTAGGGAAGGTCTGAATGTCCTTTACATATTTTCATCCGATCCCCTCTGCACATACATAGAACGTCGTGTAAATTACTACTTAAATATACACAAAGACAGCTGATAAAAAAGAGTAAAGACATTGAATCAACGACTCCCCAAATGATCTTGGAAAAAATCAGTGTTAATCACATCAGGAAACATAGACAGAAAAGTTCCAATGATAAACGATGAAACTTAAAATTTGGTCTATATATTTATGCAGAATAGCCTTCTTTAGCATGCTGCATAAAAACTTTCCAAGTATCAGCTGCGTTGTTGGTGGTGCTTTGAACTTCTCATGACATCTGTACTTTTTCAAATATATCCCCTCATGCGCTGTAATCTGCTGATAGAACGAGGTCTAGAATCCTCAATATAATTTGTATGCGTTTCAGTGAGTCTAAGAACTATGAATGATCAAAAAATTATGCGCATGGCCCAACAAAAGTAACTGGAAGAATTTGGACATTATTGTTGTTACAGATGCGATTTGTGGACGCCTACTGCTTCTAACTAGTTGTCCAACGTCAGTCGGCATGTCAGAGGCTTTAGGTCACCATTCTTTATCGACACTAAATAATTC